TCCTACACTTGGAGCTAAAACTTCCCGGCCACTGGGTCCGGCTGCAGGGCCGGAGGAGTCCTTCCTTGTGACAAGGGTAACATCTGTGCTCTCCACACGCAGTGATCTGTCCTGGTAGGTGTCTAGCAAGGCAGAGTGCCCCATCTTCTGATTGAGAGAAATCTTGGTGTGAAGTCCATGGATCCTGAAATGCCGGTGCAGAACAGTGAGGCCATGGCCGAGGCCTCTGGAGTGGGCCGAGGGCGCCCTGTGGGTCTGGCAGGTGCATGGCGGGCCCTCCGGGGGAAGACCTGACCCCGATAACCCACAGGCACTGTTCCATCCCAGGTGGGTGGGGCTTCCCAGGAGCCATCAGTGGCCCCCAGGTAACGTGTCACCTGTCCCCTCAGGAAACGTCCACCAAGAAGGTCAGCAGGGAAGAGCAAAAGGCTTCAGCCAGGATGGAGACGCAGGCCTAGTGGGGCTGTCCAGCACCAACCGCACAGTCTGGGGGGAGTTGGTCAGTGAGCACCGCCTGTGGGCAGGCACCTTGCTGGACCCCCGAGGTATGCAGCTTCTTGGAAAGCTGACTCACGAGCTCAACTTCTCAGGGAGGGGGTATGGTGAGTCGTGGGGTGCGGGCAGCACAGATGGACACCCCCCCCCCAGTTCAGCGCTGCCATTTTCCCGCTTCCATCCTTTGCGCGCCCAGAACTTTCGGAGCCACAGTAAACGACACAGACGCAGACTCTGCGGGGAGCTTACAGCCCGCGGGGTCAGGCAGCTTCGCAATTGCACAAATTGTACGACGTGGGTGTAGTGGTCACCACAGGGACAGCCGACGGGAGGGCCTGGGACAGCCCCTCCTGGGAAGCAGTGAGGGCTTCTGACCAGCGCGGAGGCGGAGACCTGAGGCCAGCCCTGGAGGCAGGTGTCCGGGGCTGTAGGGCCAGGGGCCGGCCAGCAGCCAGGAGGGCCAGGAGTAGCTGCTGGGGTTCCCTGGCCAGGGCAGAAGGAAGCTGGAGGAGCAGGCAGGGAACAGCGGCCCGGGATGCGGCCTCAGCCTGCGGCGGCTGGCTCCACCAGGCTTCAGCAGCGCTGGGCACTCGCCAGCTGCCCGACACACTTAGGAGGCGGGTGGGGGTGAGGTTGGGGGCTGTGCAGTGACCAGCCAGTACCTGCCGGGGTGGGGGGGGACTGAGGGGGCGGGGATCGGCGGCTGTGGGGAGTGGGGTATATTGGAGAAGTTCCGGAGCCTCTGCCCCTCTCAAGGCAGGGCGCACAGTGAAACAGGTCGGGGGTGGGTGAAAGTTTCTGAGTCCAGGTTCAGGTCGGAAATGTGGGGTCTGCAGGTCGGGCTCTGGAGGCAGCAGCAACCGGGGTACAGGATGGCGCGGGGCGCCCACGTGCCTCCGCAGAGCCGGTGGGGAAGGGCCCAGGCCAGGCCCCTGTGTCCCTGACCCCCGTGGCCTCGAGGCCGAGTGCAGAGCAGGGCGGTCAGCTGCCCAGGGCTCGCGTGGGCCTTAGGGTCGGGATGTGAACCCCACGGCCCCGGCCGCTGTTCCCGGCCATCACAGCTTCCGCCAGGGCCAGATATGTTCGTGCCCAGGGCCTAAGGCCTGCCCCTCCAGCACGATGACGTGCGCTCTGATGGGGACACAGTGAGCCCCAACATGTGGGGTCATCTTTCCCCCTCTGCACAGGTTTGTTTGGTGCTGAATCTCTCTGTCCCCACCCTCTGTCTTCTCATCGCTGGGCGCTGTTCTCCCGGCCATGCGAGTTCTCTCCCAGCCCGCTGGAGGAGGCGGATGGGACTTTAAAGAAGCAGGAGAAAGGGACGAAGGGCAGAGGCTGAGGCTGAACTCATAAAGCCTGTGACGCTGTGACAAGGAGGCGGCACCGCAGGGGTTGCGGGAGGGCCTTTATTAACGGGCAAGGGCCTGGCGCCGCCCGCCCGGGCTGAGCACCGCCTGCCCTGTGCCCCTCCGCCCCTCCCCTGGGGCTGCCGGGCTGCGCAGGGCTGGGGCTTCGAGCAGTGGGGGAGCATGGCTTTAGGGCGCGAACCACTTCCAACGCCTTTTGCTTTTATTTGTTTGCTTGGGTTGGTTTTTTGAGGCGTTTTTCGGGGGAGGGGGCGGGTTTTTTTGTTGGGTTGGGTTGGGTTTTGGGGGGGTGGAAGAGGCGCTCCGCGGAGGGCCGGAGCTAGCCGACGTGGCCCTGGGGCTCTGCGTGCAGCCTGGCGAGCTCGAGGAAGAAGGCGACGAATAACTTGGACCCCTCTATGTAGTTCCACCTGGGGAGGGAGGGGAGCAGAGTTACGTCCGCCGCAGTGACCCAGGGGACGCCCGGGGACGCCCGCCCGCCCGCAGGACCTGTTGATCTTCTCCTTCTGGGAGTGCTCCCCGTCGTCCACAGAGCCCAGGGGCACCATCATCACGCTCTTCTGGATAATGTCCTGGAAGGTTTTGGCAACTGGGATGGTCGAGCCGTCCCGGATCATGTCTGGCTCTGATCCAAACACTGAAATGCAGGGAAAGGAGCTACTGGATAAAATGAGGGCAAGCCCGCCCTCGCCACCTCTGCAGACGTGGCGTTTGCTGTGTCTGTCTGGGCCGGGGGGCGGCGGCAGGGAGTCAGTTTCTTGACATCACGGATTGTGTATTGTAAAGTAACCAGTAAATCCGGAAGAACGCCGCTGTTGCCTTCTTCACAGTGGCCTACTTAAACGAATATTTATAGAGAAGACTCTTCCTCTGAACTAGTTCAGACTTCAGAAAACTTGCAGAAATAGCGCAGAGGGTCCCGTGCCCCGCCCCGGAGGTCGGCATCTCTGAGGCCTGCACGTGGCCACGCAGGACACAGCCCTGGGCGACGTTCCTGGCCGTAGGATGGTGGCCAGTGAGGGGGCAGGCGGCGGGCGCTGGCGGGGTGGGCAGGTGGGGAGTGAGCAGAGAGCGGCGCATGTGGAGGAGCCAAAAGGTAACCCCAAAGCACGGAAGTCATCGCCCCATCACCTCTGGCTCTGGTGGGTCTCGGTCTCCCCAAGCCTTTCCTGGCCTTGCCCTCTGGAAGGGCACTGACCAGCTTTTTGTCAGCCCCCCTCAACCTGAGTGTCTGTGATGCCATCTGGGAACGGAAGTGACTGTTTCCAGCGGGGGCCCAAGGCCACGTCCCGCCCACGGGACCTCGTGGATCACACGCGATACGGGGGCTGGGGGGCAGCAACAAGCAGCCAGCTCTACTCAGGGGCCCCCTGGAAATGCCCAAGTCTGCACTCGGCCCCGGGTAGCCCTCCGTCGTCCGCGGTGGCCCGCTGGGAAAAGCAGCCGCAGGGGGGGCCGGCGTGCACCGGGCTGTTCGCGCCTGCCGGGGTGGGGAGAACTGGCCGCGGTGGCGGGAAGGGAGCCTCGCCCTGGGAGGGTGGCCAGGGGCCTGGAGGAGAACTGGCCGCGGTGGCGGGAAGGGAGCCTCGCCCTGGGAGGGTGGCCAGGGGCCTGGAGTCAGCCCAG